GGATTGGGTAATTTTGGCGTATGAGATTTGGGGGTTTACTGGTTTTGGAGGTGGTTTTGATGTATTTGAGATTTGGGATGTTTGGTTTGTATTTGTGTTTTGGGATGTTTGGTTTGGTTGGTTTCTGGAGTAATTCGGGTTTTTTGGGCAGTTTCTGTAGCTTGCTGGGTGATCACCTTCACAGTTTAAGCACTTGGCTGGGGTGTCCCTGGGTTTTTTGCAATCTTTGTAGTGGTGGTTTCCTGCACATCTGTGGCATTTTGGCTCTGCAAAACAGTTGCTGGAGCAATGGCCAAATTGTTGGCAGTTATGGCATTGCGGAATGTGTTTTGTGGTTGGAGCTCTTTGGTGAGAAATGTAGACTCTCATGTGGCAAATGATCTTGAAAATTTCGGTTTGGTCTTGTGGTATTAGAAGTTTAATCAATTCCGTTTCGACATTCCTGTTTGGTCCGGATTTGTACCATTGGATTTCCGATGGGCCAAATCCTAGTTCTATGAGTTCATTTTTTACGTCATCTAGGGAGAATTTTTTTCCAAGACCTTTTATTATGATATTAAGCTTCTTTTCTTCTTTAAGGAAGTACGTGTGGTACTCCACATTTTTTTCCTTCAACAGTTTGGTGGCGGTTCTGTGGTCGTCTGAGGTTTTTGGTAAAATCTGGATACCTAGAGGATGTTTTTTTGGGTCCTCTTTGTTTACGTGGTTTTCGGTTATTAATTTGTGGATTTTTAGCCAGTATTTTGGATCCCTTATAATGATTGGGGGAATTCTGGGTTTTTCTGGAGATGCGTTTTGTTTGAGAGATTTTTGTGTAGTTGGATTGTTTTGTGTGGAAAGGTTTGGATGTTGGGAACTTAATGGGTTTTTGTGTACCGGGTTTCTGAGTTGGGGAAAGTCTTCCGTGGGGTTTTGGGGTTCTTTAGTTTGGGCTTCTGTTTCTGCTTCCATCTCTTCGATTTCGTTTTCTGAGTTTGAATTTGCTTCTGAGGATGTGTTTGAAGGTGTTTTTTGTTTCCTTCTTTTTCTTGAAGGAGCTTGAGACGTTGAGGGGCCGGGTATGGGAGACTCGGCTCTGTTTTTAAGTGCTTCTAGCTCTTTGGTTTGTTTGTCGTTTACTGATAGCGCCATTTCTAGTTTTTTTTTCCATGTTTTTAACTAGTTGTACTAAGTTGTGGTAGTTGACTTCCAGGTTTTTGTGCTGATTGGATAATGTATCCAATTCAGTTCTTAGGTTCGCTGCTTCGTCAGTTAGGCGTTGTTCTTTGTCAATAAATTGTGCAATGGTTTTGTCATTTTCGGTGGCTTGGGTTTTTAAGTGTTCGATTTCTTGTGTAAGGGTTTGATTAGTGGAATTCAGGGATCGGTTAAGAACGATAAGGGCTTTACCTTTTTCATGGGCACGAAGATGCTTATCAGAAATTGTGTCTGACTTACTCCCATTATTTGCCATTTTGGTTTTGGCTTTTTTCACTATTTTCACTGAACTTTTACTTTTCACTGCACTTTTTTTGATCGGTATCATTGATGGGGTACCACGCCGAAGCGTGGTAGCTGGTGGAAGTTTTTCTACGACTTGGTGTTTGATGGTTGGAGCTTCTTGATTTTCTCTGTTGGGATCCAGCTTGCTGGATTTTGGCTTTTTGCTGTCAGAGTCTTAGGGCCGATTTCTTAAAGCTCCCTAGACTCTTAGAGCATTTTTGGAAATCTTCTCACTTCCGGATGGTTTCGCTTCTCTCTGCTTGCTTAATAATCTCTCTGCTTGCTTAATAATCAATCAATGAATTCGACGTTGTTGGGTCTGCGTTATTTATATCCAGGGTTGTGGGCGTGGCTTGTATTACGCTATTTTCCTTGTCTTGTTCTCGGAAAGGAAGGGTCTTTGTTTTTCGGAGAACTGGCAACCAACTTTTGTTGAGGTTCATGCCCTCTTCTTTTCTGTTGAAGTTGTTGTGGTGTTTCTGTATCTCCAGTGTGATTTTTTAAGTGTGCAACATATGGGGATTTTTTTTAGTGATAGCACAACCCAAATACAAACAAGGCCAAAAGTTGGTGCATGTCTGATATTCATATTAGGTGCACTTAGAATGGTTGCAAGTCAAACAACATACAGGGTAGCTCAAACAATATCAAAGCTGTACTGTAAAGTACCCTTATTTTAGAAAATTCAGCAAAATGTTATAGAGAAAAGTTGTTTGGAATTAAAAGTTATGCCGAAGTACCAAAACATAGCCTCCTAAGATTTTTTTTATTTTTTTTTCGAAAAAAATCTATAATTTCTATATTTTTTTAATTTTTTATATCCGCCCTTAATACTTTCAAAAATTAATTAAAATCAAATCAATTTTACATAACTTTGTTCAAATTCAAGCATATTTGTAAAATTAACTTAGATTTTTAATTTTTTATGGAATCACAAAATTCATGTTTGTTGCAATGATATTCATCACAACTTTAAAATGTCGCAATTTTTTTTTTATCAAGTTAAAACATTACTAATGATTATAGCCATATTAAAAAAAACTCTCCTTAAAGTGCAAAAGTTTTATTTAATTCAAGTAAATATTACTACAATTTTGATATTTTTTGAGCTACCCTGTATGCTGTTTGACTTGCAACCATTCTAAGTGCACCTAATATGATTATTAGACATGCACCAACTTTTGGTCTTGTTTGTATTTTGATTGTGCTATTACTAAAAAAAAATCCCATATGTTGCACACTTAAGTAATGACACTGTCTATAGCTCTCTTCACGTGGCTCCAGTTTAAACTAACCGGGTTACAAAACGATTAGAGAAATGACATACCGTTTTCTAACCCGGTTACAAAGTGACGTGATGGATACCTACCACGCGAATTTGAGGTGTGAAAATGTTTGGTTCTATCCAATGCTTGAGTCTGGTCGAAACGAATGACATGGTTTGTTTGTGTTAGCACGTGTTCGGCGATTGCTGATCTATCTATTTGTCCCTGCTGACAGTTCCTTTTGTGTTCTTTGACCCTGGTGATGATAGAGCGTTTGGTTGTTCCTACATAGACAGATCCACAGGAGCAGGGAATTCTATAGAGTACCCATTTCCTTCAAGTTCTGACTTTAGGTGTTGCATCTCGTCCTGAAGGTATCTGGGTTTACAAATCCGGATTGCCCTGCCAGATAGAGTTTTGATGACTCCTCTCTTTTGCCTAGGATTTGTGAACCCAGATACCTTCAGGACGAGATGCAACACCTAAAGTCAGCACTTGAAGGAAATGGGTACTCTAAGCGAGAGATAAATAGAGCTATAAGACCGAAGCAACAGCGTACAAATAACAAGGAACCAGCACAGGTGGCAGGGAGAGCCTTTCTTCCCTACATCAAAAATGTCACAGATCGCATAGGACGAACGCTACAGAGACACAACATTAAACCTATCTACAAGACTACAAGAACAATTCAGCAAAGTCTAAGATCGGCCAAGGATACTAGGACACCTCTTGAAACGGCTGGTGTCTATAGAATTCCCTGCTCCTGTGGATCTGTCCATGTAGGAACAACCAAACGCTCTATCAATACCAGGGTCAAATAACACAAAAGGAACTGTCAGCAGGGACAAATAGATAGATCAGCAATCGCCGAACACGTGCTAACACAAACAAACCATGTCATTCGTTTCAACCAGACTCGAGCATTGGATAGAACTAAACATAGAGATACAGAAACACCATAACAACTTCAACAGAAAAGAAGAGGACATGAACCTCAACAAAAGTTGGTTGCCAGTTGTCCGAAAAACGAAAAACAAAGACCCTTCCTTTCCGAGAATGAGACAAGGAAAATAGCGTAATACAAGCCACGCCCACCACAACCCTGGATATAAATAACGCAGACCCAACAACGTTGAATTCAGTCATCGGAGGAACACGAAAGAGAATACTTCGTCCTCTACCACACCGCCTCTAAAGATGTCTACCGCAGCAGTAGACGAAACGTTAGGTAGAAATACATGGTCCATTGTGCATTATAGTCCGGAAAAAACTTTTTCACTAGATTTGACCGGCCGTGAAAGCCTTCATTCTTTATATATAATCTGATGTTTCGACTTTGGCCCACCATCATAAACTTTATTTGTTTAAATACGACCCTGGATTTTTTATTTCAGATTTTAAGAGCTTCTGATGTCTGGTTAAGTTATGGCAAAGTTGCGCATTTTGATACTTAACAAAATCCCGTTTTAAAATTGTAAAAATTTTATTTTAAGAGATCCCCTATGGGAGAATTTTTGTCGCTCTGCGCTGAATCTTCTCAAGACAAGAAGTTTTATATCTTTAATGCAATATGGATACCACATCCACACAGTATGAGCTTAGCTTTGTAAGAAAGGGTAGATATCATCTCGATGGAGTGGTCTCTAAAGGCACAGTTAATTAAGTATAAGTATACGTAGGAGTTAGCTTTTCTAGTTATTTCAATTATGTGATTCTCCCGCTACAAGTCGGTTGTTACTACAACTTCCAGATCATTTTATTCATTTACTGTTGTTAAAGCAGAGTCAATAAGAATATAGTCTTTGTTAGGGTTATTTGGGCCAATCCTTAGTTTAAATAATCCAGTAATATAAGCGAGTAAAACACAATCAAGTACCTACTTACTGAAAATATTAGAAATATAATAAATCATAAATTATTTATAAAACAAGTAAAATTAGAGTCAGATATATTACAGAATTATATTAGGCCAAAGCTTCATTTTGAAGTATTTTTAGAAAATAATTATTTATTTTTTTGCAATTAAGAAATACATTGAGTATTTACCAGTTACGGGTTGAGAATTTTTTTCAAAATAAGATAAAAATTGAGTAGATAAGCTTTTCAACTTGAGATTTTGGTAGCAGTATGTATAACTCCTCAATATGCATTTTTTTACATGATACTTCACTTTAACCCACAATGAAGTTAGCTTTGAAATTAAACACCCTGTAGATTTTCGACTATTTTGCTCAAATATCACAATATTCTTAGATTTATGGTAGACACACATATTCTTGGTTGTGTCTGGATCGAATTGCCGCCTAAAACATGGTACCCAAGAACAAGCACATCTTCCCATACAAAGTCCAGTAGATGCCAAATAGAATGTGATGTGTCTTGGGAGGATTTTATCGCCCACGCACCTGAAGGCGATTGGGGCGATGTGGCTCAATATAGGATTCACAGTTTTGATATTGAATGTGCTGGACGAAAAGGCATTTTTCCCGAGCCGAATGTCGATCCTATCATTCAAATTGCCAACGTAATTCAGTTACACGGAGCCAAAGAAGTGATGACTAGGAATATTTTTTGTTTGAAATCTTGCGCTCCTATTGGCCATGCCGAGGTAATAATATTTTGACCAAATACCAGTTTATTTACTTATTTTTTCCAGGTTTATTGTTATGAAAAAGAAGAAGAACTATTGGAAGCTTGGGCCAGTTTTGTTAGGGAATTAGACCCAGACATTTTCACGGGCTATAATATCAACAATTTTGATTTTCCATATCTTTTGGATAGGGCTAAGCATTTGAAAGTTAAAAATTTCGAGTTTTTGGGAAGGCTTCTAAATGTTAGATCACAAATAAAAGAAACAACGACCCAAACCAAAATAGGCAAGAGGACATACAAAACTATTAATTTTGAGGGTCGTGTACCGTATGATATGTTTTTGGTAACAAAGAGAGATTTTAAACTTCGGTCATATACTTTGAATAGTGTTTGCCAAGAAATTTTAGGAGAACAAAAAGAAGACGTCCACTATAGTATTATTACAGATTTGCAAAATGGAGATGAACAAACCAGAAGAAGGTATTAAACTAATTTTAATTTTTAAATGTAGTTTTGAAATATAAATTTTATAGGTTGGCTGTATATTGTCTTAAAGATGCAGATTTGCCTGTAAGACTTATAAATACAGTATTAAGTTTTACTAATGATATTGAAATGGCCAGAGTAACAGGTGTCCCTATAACAAGTCTATTGACGAAAGGTGAACAAGTCAAAGTTGTGGCTCAACTGTTACGACATGTGAGTATGAGAATCAAAAAAACAGAATGTTTTAAAAATCATCACTTACAGGCCAGAAAAGCTGGTTACTTTATGCCAGCCCATCAAGGTGCAGCTGGATCAGAACAATTCGAGGGAGCTACTGTTATTGAACCAGTTAGAGGCTACTACACGGATCCGATTGCCACCCTTGATTTTAGTTCTCTATATCCCAGCATTATGATAGCCCATAATTTATGCTACACCACATTGATTAAGAGCTCTGTTATAAAGGACAAGTTAGGGTAAGGCAAATATCATTCCAGTTCAGGAAGGGATCACTAAAACATATAAGTACTTTTATTATTCCTCATAGATGTTGGAGACATATCATCTATCACGGTTACCTGTCTTATACAGGATGTTTCAAATAATTCGAGCCACATCATTGGGATCTCGTAAACAGTGAGAGATACAGGGTTGGTTAAATTGGGGCAAAGTTGCGTAATTTGATCAAATCAAAATTTGCTTTATTATCGAAGTTGTACAATCTTATTGACAAAGCCAAACTTAAATCCATAAACACCGCAATAAAAAGCCCTAAAACTTGTTTTGCATTGGCTAATACGTAATGTATAGCGCGGTAGTGGACTGTATTTACTTTGCGGCACAAAATCTAAATAATGAAAAAAAGGACTTACCCAGTGATTCCATAATACCCCAGGGAAATTAGACTTCTTCTGCGGAATGAGGCCGAACAAGCTAAATTTTTGCAGAGACCTTCGTTTTGATGTTCTAATGAAGCACAAAAAAATCGAGTATGCCTAAAAACACAAAATACCTAGAATATTTTTTCACTTATGTATATATTAAAAAAAAAATTACTGTAAGTTTGCCATTGCCAAATTCCATATGCTAGGATGGCTGCAGTGGAAGATGGAGTTCAAAGCGTTGTGGAAGCCTTCACAACAATTTGTTGTTTTTGGGCTTCTTTCGGCAGCGGCTCCGAAATGGTTCCACAACCCGATTGGAAATTGCGGTGATTACAGTGGCTAAATAAACCTTTACATACAGTGGCGACAATAGAGGTCCCGCCGCCATTTTGTTCCCAACCACATGTTACTTTTAAATATGAATTTATAGGTTTTAAATGGACATCTTTCATAAAAAATTGAAATCGACGTATTTGATGACTATTATTAGGTCCATCAAATACGTTGTTTCCATGTTTTATGATGGATGTTCACCCAAATCCCATATATTCATATTTGAAATAAGCAATAGATGGGAACAAGATGGCCGCGTTCTCAATATAAATATATGGGATTTTAGAACCAACCAAAAATAAGACAGCAATTGTCGCCACTGTGGGTAATAGAGTCACTGTAGCGGTGATCTTCCAGCAGCGCCCTCTATGTATGTTGAGAAGAAATACGTCAACACGGCGTTGTGGCCATCATCATCGGGAAAAGTTGCTGCTAGGTCATCAAATACAGATCGCACGTCGTGTTCTGGTACAAACGACAGTGCAGCCAGAGACTTCAGTTTCAATTTCACGTCAATATCAGACTCATAATCCGTTTTCAAGCCAGCACTATTAATTTTCCGTAACAAACTCTGGGATAGATGGAAGTAGCATCCCTTAATTTCTGCTTCTGGGAAGGCGGTTCGAGCAGCAGAAATGCATGCTTTCTCAAAATCAACCAGAATCTTCTGAGGTGCGATGCTGGGCACTAAATCCTTTAATATTGTGAACATTTGACGGTATGTATCGCAGTTCTTTTTTTGCAGCAAAAAGTAAATGCAAGGTGGATAGCTGTTGCCAACTTTAGCATGCCACGTATATAGTTGGTAAAACATGTTGGGGGCTTTGTCGAATGTTCCGTCTCCATAGATTATAGCCTTATCCAATTCTCGCAGCAATTCTCCATTCCCAATTACCAAAATCCTTTCTTGATCGTCCGCTCCTGTGTCGTGCAGAATCAAGTCCGCATAATTTTCATGGATCCGAAAATTTGTTGTGGTCGGATTCGGAATATGAGCCGTTTTCTTGTGGTTGAAAAGATTTCTGGTCAAGGAAGATTGCTTTGGCAAATGTTCCAATACATCGCAACTTAGGTTGGTTAATACATGTCCCAATACATTTCTTGGAGTTGCACCAACTGCCTTCATGTCACGCTTCAATATGGCCTTAATAATATTAGCCTGAGCTACTTGCGGTTTGGAATCATGACAATGTTGTGGAACCTCACCAATTATGTTGTCTTCTTGGGATCTCAAGAAGGCCTTACACTTGGTAGAATAGTAGATTCTGCACCTCCACATGATGACTCCACTTTTGTTTTCTCTGTACTTCGTATATTCATACCCTTGGTACACAAGAACCCTATTTCCCTTCTGCGTGACAGAATATTCCATTGCAATGATAGGTGAAATAAAGATTAAACACAAAATACACAGAAAAAAGCAATTTTACAATTAGATACACAACAGTTCAAATGAAATTCGAAAAGTCGACTGAAGAATAAAAGTTGACTACTCAAATTTATATTCAAACTGAACTAACCTGAACAATTGAATAATATGGGAGTAATTGTGTTTTCTTTGTTACATTTTTAAACTTTAACCAAAACCCACCGATCTCATTAACATACAATCCCTCTCAACAAAGTTATATTTTCCTAACATTAATATTCTCAGAAACTAATTACCTACTTTTAACATCAAGCAATAAGACCTAAGTTATTCAGGCCCCTTTCAACAAAGACCCATATAACATAACTAAAACATTGATATTCTCGGAAATTAAGTATAATTAAGTCCTGTTTGAGTTATTTAGCTATTATAATTTCACTTCTCTTAAGGGAAAATATAGGATTTAGAAAAAAAATCTATGCCAGACAGGGTTTTTTTCTAAAATTCATCTCGTTCAAACCTACAATTAAAGAAAAAAACGATTTTCGATTTTTCCCCTTAACACCCCTAACTCCCTTAATATGCATTTTACGACCCATGTTTTAGGAATTTTTTAAACCAGTTTTATGAGTACTATCACCCCCCAAATTTCTTTACACCATTTCAATGACACCCTACATGAGTAAAAAAATATTCATTAAAGTTCTTATTTTTCAGAGTTCTGTTTTGTCAAGGTTCTCTTATTTCAGTGTTCTCTATTTTCTCGGTTCTGTTATGTCATAGTTCTCTTTTTTCCTTGTTCTGCTTTATCACTGTTCTGTTTTTTCACTGTTCTGTTTTTTCATGTTCTGCTTTTTCACGTTCTGTTCATTCATGTTCTGTTATTTCATGTTCTGTTCCGTCCGGTTTCCCCTCTATATACCCTAGCATTTTTGACCAGTTGAACGGGGACACCCTGTATAATACAGTATCAGCTATTTTGAATTTCGCTTCCGCTTTATCACGCTATATTTCGAAAACAGTTGGTCGTACAAAAAAATGTATAGGAATAATTTCGTAGAAAATACTATTTTACGTAAGTTTTGTCTTGGGTTCTTCGACGTCAGATGCACTGGAAGCGAGATTTTCGCAATAAAAAACGATTTTCGTGACCTTTGACCTTCGATATCTCAAGACGCACAAAGGTAGGCATATTCGATTTTTTTGTGCTTCATTAGAACATTAAAACGAAGGTCTCTGCAAAAATTCAGCTTGTTCGGCCTCATTCCGCAGATGGGCCTTTTTTTGGTCTAATTTCCCTGGGGTATAAGTGCACTCCTGCAGGGCCCTGCTTCACACACGCGCTGCGGATGATACTGTTCCCCAATTACGGATTATGGAAATTTGTAGAAGGTTGATATGACAGGACTTCACAATGAAGTTTTTAGATTAGAAATATTGCGACCGTGTTAAGACGTACTACGACGTGCCCGTGTCGTCTTATCGGGTTTCTTAGCAAGTCAGTTTCAAATTACTCGCTTCTGGTATTTCCACTATCAAAATCTAGAGGTACCTACGACTTTTTTGCGCGAAAACAATAAATGCGAGCAAACAGGAAATTTGTACCTTTGCCAAATTGTATGAAATTCACTTAGAATAAAGACGAAACAAAACTAGTCACATAAAAAAACAAACTGATTAAAATATAAATACAGTCAACATTGAAATAGCGAAAAATTAGTCATAAAAACAGAAATTAAACAATAAAACCGAAAAACAATCAAGCAGTGACACAAGATAGTGATTCACTGGAAATTTTCCAAAAAAAAATCCTCAATGTCACAAAAAGGCCGCACAAGGAATAATGCCTTTAGGCTTTTACGAAAAATCCTATCATTATTTATTTGCCTAAGGGAAAGTGGTAAATGATTGAAATTTTTTTTACCGTTGTAAATAAGCGACTGTTTGGTTTGTGCACTGTTAGGGATAGGCAAGTTAAGCGAATGGGAAAGACGAGAACTGCGTTCTGAGAGGGCAGCAACACCCTGCCTCTGCCTACACTTCTGCACAACATAAAAATACTTGGCAAGGTCAAAATTCCCTCCGACTGAAATAAAGGCCGACATGAGTCTCTAACTTTTGCTCGGCATATGTATCTCACTGCCCTCTTCTACAAAATAAATACGCTATTGAAGAGTCGCTTAGAGCAAACACCCCAAAAGCATACACCATATCGCAAATGGGACTCGATCAAGGCGAAGTAAGTTTTACGTGCTGTCGACCTATCAAGTTGGGCACTAATAGTTCTCAGTGCATAACAGCCGGATGCCAACTTCCTATTGAGAGCTTCAACATGGGCGTCAAACTTCAATCTGTCATCAATGTATAACCCAGACATTTGGTTTCATTCAAATTGGTAACATTAGAATTATTGAGTGCCAAATCATTTATATAGAGAAGCAGAGAAGGAACAACAGAGGCTCCAGCACTGAGCCCTGTGGGACGCAGAGCCCACATTTGGCTTTTCCGACATCAGGTCCCCAAACGAAACAGTCTGCTGCCTACCCTCTATATGTATATGATCTAAACCAGTTATTTGTTATTCCTCTAAAACCGTAGAGCTCTAGCTTCTGCAGCTAAATGTTATGGTCCACACAATCGAAAGCCTTCGACAGATCGCAAAAAACCGCAGCTGCTGAATCGTGGTTATTCAATCTAAGATAGCAATGAAAAAATAGCATCTCCAGTGTTCAAACCAGCCTGACAACCGAATTGAGCTCTGTTCAACAGTTTATTATGTTCAATGAATGTTGTCATACGTTTCTTAACTATTTTTTCAATACCTTTAGCCAATGTTGGAAGTAGCGCGATGGGACGGTAATTTGCTGGATCTTCAGCATCCCCTCCCTTATGAAGAGAAACGGAGGAAATTCGCCTCTCTCAAATGAAAGGTTTATACTCTCAGACGTCAATAAAACATCATCAGGAAGACTACGGAGTATTTTGATAGATATACCATCCGAGCCAGATGCATTGGACTTCCTAATATCTGAGAAGATTCTGCGAAGCTCGGTCACATCTGTGGGCATCATAAAGAATGTATTAGGATTATGAACATTCCTTAAAAAATGTTTAAAATCATGAGAGGGAGACAACTGATCAGAAATTCTGGAGGCAATTGAGCAGTAATAAGTGTTAAGCTTATTAGATGATAAAGATGATAAACTAAATTTGCCTCTCAATTCATTGACGATTCGCCAGGCCTCTCTCTGACTATTGTCACTTTCCGACAGCCTGCCCCTATAATACACTTGCTTCGCCAGTTTAATCACTTGGCTATATCTATTGATAAACGAAACAAAAAACAAATTATCAATAGTAATATAACTAGTGCAATGGAAATTATTGATAATTTTTGGGAAATTTGCTCGAATGCATTTTTAGTTAAAAAAGAGCACGAGTGCACGTAGTGCACGAGTGCCTTTTTCAGTTAAAAACGCATGAGTGCAAATTTGTCGAAAATTATAAATATATTTCCATTGCACGAGTTGTATTTAATGAGAGAGTTTCATAAATCAAAAATTTAAATTTATTTACAATCATACATGTAATGTTGACTTTACTGACTTTTAAAAAGTTCGAAAATGTCACTTTTTTTACTTTTACTTTCGACCCGTGGGCCGAAAGTAAATGAAATTTTTAAAATTTATTGTATTTTTTGACTTTTACTTTCGGCCCACGGGTCGAAAGTAAACTTTCGACCCGTGGGCCGAAAGTAAATGAAATTGTTAATTATTTGTTTTTTAGTTTTAATTCAAATGAAAATTTCAAAATTCGAATGATTGTAAATAAAATAGTATACATACCTCGGTAAAAAGTTTCATTACTGTCTCGAGATTTCAGTTAGACCTCGACTGCGCCTCGGTCTAACTTAAATCTCTCGACAGTAATGAAACACTTTCCACCTCGGTATGTAATATACTATTTTTGTCAAAAAATGTCAAAACACCAGTTTTCGCACCAGTTAGTATGCAATTATCTGATAATTTGCACTAGTGCAAATTATCGCGTAATTACAATCTGATTGGTTCAAATCAACAATCAAAACATGTCAATTTATTGTTGGAATACCAGTTTTGACAGATGTATGAAATTCTCCTTGTAATACTTTCTTAAGTAGTGTAGGCAGCGCATATTGCCACTAGAAACTTTAAGGCCTTTAGTTATCCAGGGCTTTTTTTTCTTATTTTTCAAAGTCTTTATTGGAAAAGATGTGTTGAAACAGTTTGCAAGAACCGTATGAAAAGTATGTAGCGGATTTGCAGAATGCAAAAGACCAGCCTAATTAATTGCTTGGCTACTTTGCACAAATCTTTGAAAATTTTTCTTTGTAAACAATCTTCCTTTTCTTAGCGTTTTAGAACAAATACTAACTTCAGTCTTTACAATGAATTGCCCCATGATCAGATAAACCAGAATTGATTACCTGACATTCCACGTCACTCTGAGGCAAATTACAACATAAATAATCCAATAAGGTAGCTTAGTGCGAAGTTATTCTAGTTGGAGCTTCAACAAACATATTTAGACCAAAACTCTGCAAGAGGCCACTCAGCCCTCGAACATGCCTATCAATCTTTACTATCAGATACATCCAGGAAATTCAAATTCAAGTCCCCACACAGCAAGATTGTAGACTTAAGAGGCAGCTGAAACAATAGTGTTTCAGCTTTTGACAAAAATTCATCCTTATCGCCTGATGGGGATCTGTACAAACACAAAAATATAGAAATTCCAACCTGAGCAATATACCAACGAAAATTCAAAGATTTTTTCTTCCAGAAGCTGATCATATTTATCAATTTTTATGAATTGGTTTAAAAAATTATTGTTTACAAGAATCAATGTTGTACCTCCATTCTGAAACACCTATCTACAGTAACTACTGAGCAAGAAATATTCGGGGACACAAATAGGCTCATCAGCTTTAAGCCAGTGTTCACACAATAACACTATGCTTGGGTGACCATAAGTGCTCAACAAAATTGATAACTCATCTACCTTGGGTCTAATAGATTGAATGTTGAAATACATCAAGGTAAGGTGCGCCCCTCTAAAACTCGATGAAAACTATGCGATAGAACTCCAGCAGAATAATCGCTATGCACTGGACTATAAGTCATTAATAGATGAGTCAATACTGATTGAGAAAGCACTGTAGGTATTTTCAGTAGCTGCTTTGGTTTTACATATATTTTCATCTAGCTTTACGTAGACAAGATGTTTGCATTTATTAGAATCTATAATAGTAAGAGTCACGCACAAAATATCTGCAAAGGTAGCAGTGCTGAGCGGCTGAAAAGCCGAAACGACTCCCCCGAAATCTACAAGAGTCAATTGAGATAGTCGAAGATTTGAAAATTTGTTTCCTAGATTCTTACAAGAGTCTACATAAAATAACTTGTTTGATGTAAGCTTGCCAAAATTAAAAACTAACTCACTTAACTGTGAATTAAAATTATAGCACATATTTGGACATTTAAAACATAGAGGTGGGGATAAGATTATGACATTAATGTGAATTATTAGTAATAGTTTCCTTGATATGTGTCAAATTGGGCTTTTTGAAGTTTAGGAAGTCATTGTAACCTGCAAATATAATAATATAGTCCTTCTCGCTAAAGTTCTGTGATAAACAATCCACATTCTCCACAACGGCATCGAAAGAAGCAGATGGCTTAATAATACTTTCAACAGCAAATTTTGAGTTATTCAGACTCTTACTCAGTTTAGATGCCAATCCTCTACCCATTTGATCCTAGAGTAAAAGAATTTGCTTAACAAAATGCCGCTTTGATATTTAGGATATTCCGAATACTTCCGGAAAAACCCGAAATTTTGCAAATTTATTTTGATTTTTTTTGACTTCATTTTAAGTTATATTTTAAAAAAAATGTCACTTCATCATAGCCACTTTTTCTTCCCTACAAGATGCTTCATTCAAATTTGAAATCTGACGTTTCATCTTTGAACCAACATCATCAACTTAATTTTTTCAAATGCGGATCTTCATTTTTTATTTTAGATTTTAAAAGCTGTTGATGTCCCAAAATCAATGGCGTATTGCACTTATTCGAAAAATTTATATTATTGGCACTTTTTATAGGAACTAAATGTGTTAGAGAGAGACAGAGAAGAGAACTTTGGTAGGGAATTACTAAAAAGTGAAAAAAAATAATATTTTTTCGAATAAATGCGATTCGTCGTAGGTTTTGGGACATAAGCTTTAAAAATCTGGAATATCACTTCTAATAAAGTCAGGAAAAAATGAAAACAATTTTTGCAAAATTTCGGTTCTTATCGGAAGTATTCGGAATATCCAATTTAACAAACCCTGTATCTCTCACCGTTTCCGAGATCCCAATGATGAGGCTCAAATTTGAAACACTCTGTACTTGCAACTGATCTGAACAATTAATCATTTCAAGCCAATCCTGCAAAATGATGGACCAAATCCACTATTGCTCTCAATCTTACCCTCAAAAATTGAATTTTTGCAGTAACCACCTCCTGTTATGAATTTGAGAGGGTCCTCATAACTTCTTACTTTTGTTGAGCTTCCTGATATTTTAAAACTTTCAATACACATTAGCTAATTAATTAATTTCTATTAGACGTAATATTATTAAATATCTAAAACGCAATATTTATTTGAATGTACTTTTTTTAAGATTGTCCGATGACCAAGTAACAACCACACCAGTCAACTGCCAATTCGTTAAATCTTCTTTACGACCAGGACTTTTGCCCCACATTTTACAACACTTATTAGCTGCGAGGAAAAAGACTAAAGCTTTACTGAAAGATGCCAAAGATCCTGTTTTAAAAGCTGTATTAAATGGCAGACAATTGGCCTATAAAATATCGGCCAACTCTGTGTATGGATTCACTGGAGCCCAAGTAGGGAAATTGCCATGTTTAGAAATATCTGGAGTAAGAACTGATTTTTAAAAGAGTCTGGTATTTTTATGTATTTTAATTATTTTCAGAGTGTAACTGCCTACGGGCGTACGATGATAGAACAAACCAAACAAGAAGTAGAGCAACAGTATACAATTAAAAATGGCTATGAGAGTGACGCTAAAGTTATTTATGGTGATACTGATTCTGTAATGGTTAATTTTAAAGTAAAGGCTTTGGAAAAAAGTATGGAGTTGGGTAGGGAGGCAGCTGAGTTGATTAGTACTAAATTTATTAGTCCTATAAAATTAGAGTTTGAAAAGGTTTCTACTAAGCCAAATTTATTTTGATTGATCAATTAATATTTTTGGTTTTAGGTTTATTTTCCATATTTGTTGATTAATAAGAAAAGATATGCAGGTTTATATTGGACCAAACCAGACAAATATGATAAAATGGATTGCAAGGGTATTGAAACAGTTAGGAGAGATAATTGTACCTTAGTGGTAGATGTCATCAATACTTGTTTGCAAAAATTGCTGATTGATAAGTGAGCCTCCAATATTTTGACCAAAAAACTAGGTTTAAAAATGTTAATTTCAGAGATCCTGATGGTGCAGTGAGCTACTCGAAACTCGTTATTTCCGATCTATTACAAAATAACATAGATATTTCTCAATTGGTAATTACAAAGGAGCTTACTAAAGAAGATTATACAGCCAAGCAAGCCCATGTGGAATTGGCCAAGAAAATGAAAAAAAGAGATCCGGGAAATGCTCCTAAATTGGGAGATCGTATTCCGTATGTTATCACTTCAGCAACAAAAACAGCTAAGGCTTTTGAAAAGGCCGAAGATCCTATTTATGTATTAGAAAATAATATTCCTATAGATGCTAAATATTACCTAGAAAATCAACTATCAAAGCCTTTGATTAGAATTTTTCAGCCTATATTAGGAGATAATGCTGAATCTATACTTTTACGTAAGTGTTATATTTTGTTTTTAAATAAAGGGTGTATGTACAGGGTGTCCAAATTTGGATGGTTTTAATAGGAAATGTCAATTTCTGAGCGAGATACAAAAAAATGAACCCCCCATTCCGAGGCTCAAATTTTATAAAAACTTGATTGGTGCAAACCGCATTTTGATATCTTCAACCGTTTAGCCGCTAGAGGGCATTTCTCGATTTTGAGCAATACTGTGAAACCTTCATAACTTTTTTGTTTATGAAAATAATTGATTTCCGTAGAAACTTTCTAGAAGCACTTTTTCAAGCAGAATTCAGTGACGTTCTCAGTTTTTTTCTATTGGGCCCCGATTTCGAGATATTGACCAAAGTCCGATTTTTTTCAAAAATATTAATAGCTCATTTGAAAGCTCTGCTTTTGCTGATTTCAAAGATACCAATTTTGATTGGTTTATCTGTAACAGTTTTCGAGAAAAAAAATATTTTGGTTTTTGTCAGAAACAATGTGTTAGAAAGAGACCTTTTTCATTTTCCTTACAGCTATAATGTCCTTTTCTAACACATGGGTTCTTATGAAAAAAATCGAAATTATTTTTTATCTCGAAAACTGTTAGAGATAAACCTATCGAAATTTGTATCATTAAAATCAGCAAAAGCAGAGCTTTCCAATGAGCTATTAATATATAGGGTGTCCTATTGAAAAAATCGGACTTTGGTCAATATCTTGAAATCAGGACCAAATAGAGAAAAACCAAGAACGTCACGGAGTTTTGCTTAAAAAAGTGCTTTCAAAAAGTTTTTACCGAAATCAATTATTTTCATAAACAAAAAAGTTATGAAGGTTTCACAGTACTGCTCAAAGTCGAGAAATGCCTGCTAGCGGCTAAACGGTTGAAGATATCAAAATGCGGTTTGCACCAACCAAGATTTCATGAAATTTGAGCCTCGAAGTGGGGGGTTCATTTTTTTGTATCTCGCTCAGAAATTGACTTTTCCTATTAAAACCATCCAAATTTGGACACCCTGTACAAGATATCTGGAAAAAATTGAAATTTGCAGAAATAATTTTTCGTGCCTCTTGGTACGATTTCTGATGAGAAATTGTAATAGTTATTTACCTAACAAATGCGGAAAGTGATACTTTACCGCACGCAACGGCAGTTGACAGAACGACGCGGAGCGGAGCTCGGTCAAGCCGTTAAGGGCGGTAAAGGCACTTTCCGCATGTTTTAGGTACAACATTTTACCTATGAGCATCTACATCTCTAAAAAAAGGCATTGATAAAATTAATTATTGAATCAGATTAATTAATGAAATTAGATTAGATATAGAAATGATCAAAAATCCATTTTTTGAAAAAGAGAGGATTTCTGATTAAAAATATCAAATTTTACTTTACCGCACAACAAGCGGTGAAGTGCATTTTACCGCACACTTTGTAGTCCACTTTACCGCATACTATGCTGTAAAGTTACTTTACCGCATAGTGTGCGGTAAAGTGATACTTTCCATTTACAAATACGTGCGGTAAAGTGCACTTTACCGCACGCGAGTAGGTAAAGGTCTAAACGCAGTTTTGCAAATTTTATAACTATACAGTGTCATTACTTAAGTGTGCAACATATGGGATTTTTTTTTAGTAATAGCACAATCAAAATACAAACAAGGCCAAAAGTTGGTGCATGTCTGATAATCATATTAGGTGCACTTAGAATGGTTGCAAGTCAAACAGCATACAGGGTGGCTCAAAAAATATCAAAATTCTACTAATATTTACTTAAATAAAATAAAACATTTGCACTTTAAGGAGAGTTTTTTTAATATGGCTATTATCATTATAGGCCGTCAGCCACGCGCTAAAAAGCCTTCTCCTTATCGGGTTTTTATAAATCGAGGTATAACCAATCGAAACAGATACCATTCGATTCAGCATGATTTTTTACATAGGAAACTGAAAATGACAACACTCTCCATTGGTCGAGACATTAGTTATGGAGAAAAAACATGAAAAAAGACACGATTTTCTTCTTAATACTTGGGTACAAATAACTCTGAAACCAATCAAGCTTCAATGATAATTTTTTCACAGTTGTAAGCCCTTATAGCTCCTGGTCGAATAGCAGTTTTTTCATTTGTTCAAAATGATAATTGTTTATACTAGCAACAATTTTCTTGACGGATGCACAATTTTACAACATTTCTCTTCATTTAAACCTACGGTATCTCGCTTGTATAAAGCAATATAAATATTTTTTTTTACAAAAAGTTGAGAAATTTTATAGGCAATATTTTGTCTCGATCATTATAGGGTCTATTTTTAAAAACAAACCCGCTAGAACCATTTAAACACAATAAAACGCGAGAAAGCGGCTGGTTTGGGCGACTTCCTCTCCATTCCCGCAACCACCCGCCGCAGCCCGCACCATGCCTGTAATGTAGAAAGGGGGAGTTTAGTAGAAGTGAATTTCACAGAGTCCGTAATTTGTGAAGTTTGCAATAATAATATTTATTTAATTATAGATTTTTTGGCTTTTGTAAAGCATACCTATTATACAGGATATAATACCATTCAAAACAAAACGAGCTAAATATCTGATGCCACGTTTACTTTTTAAAAAATCGCTCCTACAGGTAATTTGATTTTCAAAGGGGGAAGTTTTCTGCAATCATTTCTGGCACTTCAACTTTAACCCTCTAGGCAGGGTGGCCCTTACTATTTTAAATCGAACAAGGAGTCGAGTGATACCTCTTTTAAAAGAGCATTGAAATCTCATTCATTTGAATTGAAAGAAAATTGAACGGTCTTTTAACAGGTATCACTCGACCCCCTGTTCCATTTGGAATGGTAAGGATTGGTCCCACCCCCTCTAGAGGTTTAAGTTGGTGCTGGAAATGTTTCAAGCACTCACACAATCAAATAACGTGGACGAGTGATTTATTTACAAAATAAAAGTGGCATCAGATATTTAGCCTGTTTCGTTTTAAATGGTATACCCTTTATATATCGAGTGTTTTTACCTATGCCTATAAAGTACTAGTTCTATAGGGGTGAGTAGGTACCTAATGGCTATTTGCACGGCTATCACTTAAGGGATATTTAATCTAAATGGAGCTTTGAATGTTCTTTTGTTTCTACAAGAGTCACATTCAAAGCTCTACTTGGATAAAATATCCAAAAAATATCCCTTAGGTTACAGCGGTGCAAATAGCCTTAAGACTATTTGTTATTATTTTGTGAAATTATTGTCGTAGTTTGCGTGAATAGGAGAAACACAAGCAATGTATTATTTCGCATCAGGGTTGCCACCTTCTAGGTTTAGAAAAAGGTATCTATATGATAACTATTTTTGAATGAGAATTTCATACATCTGTCAAAACTGGTATTCCAACAATAAATTGACATGTTTTGATTGTTGATTTGAACCAATCAGATTGTAATTACGCGATAATTTGCACTAGTGCAAATTATCAGATAATTGCATACTAACTGGTGCGAAAACTGGTGTTTTGACATTTTTTGACAAAAAATTTAAATTTTTGATTTATGAAATTCTCTCATTAAATACAACTCGTGCAATGGAAATATATTTATAATTTTCGACAAATTTGCACTCATGCGTTTTTAACTGAAAAAGGCACTTGTGCTCTTTTTCAACTAAAAATGCATTCGGGCAAATTTCCCAAAAATTATCAATAATTTCCATTGCACTAGTTATATTACTATTGATAACTTTTTTTTGTGCAACATTATTCCTTTTTAGATTGGATTCATTATGGAAAAAGCTAGTTGTCTCTTTTGTGGGGAAGCCACTTCAACTAGCGATAACTTAATAAATAAATAATAAATAAAAATGCCTTTATTTCCAGATTTTTTAAATTAAATTTACATACATTCATATATGAGTGGCGATATCCAACCAAGTTGCTTCTATACAACCACCCCATCAACGGAATAGATAAATGTATCTTTTTACAAAAAAATAGTCTAACATAAAACAGTATACACTTCAAGGTTATTTCACATATTATGCATTTGCGATCTCTTATTGCACATGTGCTTCTTCGACCCCGTCACAAAGGCTGAAACAGTTGCTAGATTTATTAGTTCCTCTGGTAAACTATTGTAAATTTTAGCCGCATTGTAACTAAAAGATTTTTTAAAAGTAGCGGTACGATGCTTAGGAACTACCAATCTATGGTTATGTCTTGTAAGCCTCCCATGAACTTCGCAAGATTTAGTTAGTTTGCTAGACAAGTATGATGGGAGTCCAAACAAGTTTATTTTAAATACTTGACGCAATAAGTGCAATTCGTGTCTTTCACCTAATTTCAACCAATTTGATATCTTATATTTCTCAGAGACATGGTCAAACCTCCTAAGATTGTATGCAAGTCGCAAACAGGAATTCTGCAGCTTTTGCAAGCTATTCTTTTCTGTCTGCAATAATGCAGACCAATATACGGTGTCACAGTAATTTAGACGCGATAAAATTAAAGAGTCACAACCTGAGTTTAATTGGAGTTGATAGAAAGTTTTTATGTAAATAAAGTAGCCTTAAAAGTCCATAAGAAGTTTTCAAGAGAAATGACACATGCGTCCTAAATTTTAGATCATTATCAATGAACAAGCCCAAGTTTTTGACAGTATTGACAGGCATTAAACGGGTATCATTTAATTTAATATTGAAGTAGGGATCTTCTGCCATTTCTTTGGGCTTCCTACCAAATAATATTAATTGTGTTTTTTTTTTCATTCAGGAGAAGGCTATGATACTTTGAGTAATTAGAGATAGATTGCAGGTCATCATTTATGTGTTGCACCGCTTGAGGTAATTCGCTTTGATCAAATGACTTGCGAAGCTGCGTATCGTCCGCAAATTGATCAGATTGGCAGTTTTTTATAAATTTATGCAAGTCTGATGTGTAAATAGAAAAAAAGATTGGCGCGAGGACACTTCCCTGTGGGACCCCTCTATCAACTACTCGATATTCTGAAAAAACACCATTCAATCCA